AGATCCCGAGTACCACACAAGCGAGAAGAACCAGAGTTAAATTCTCTTCTGATGTGACATGCCTTGAGATGTTACCTGCCACCACTTGAGAGCATCCTGCACTGCAGTTAAGACTAACTTTCTATATGTCATCCCTCATATTCCCAGCACTGAAACACTCTTACATGATGACTCTGCTGACACCAGCACGTATCACACATTTCTGTTATTAGCCATATTCCAATGTAATATTCACTGCCACAGTTTTGTTCCAATTATTTGCTGTCAGGCTAATTCGTATTTTCACTATTGAATAAATCAGAATTTTAAATGAGCATCAAAAATCACAGTTGCTGCTTGAAGTACGTAACATTTGACTCAAGTCTATCTTCTAGCGGAAAGAAATAGAAATAGCATTAAAAAAAAGTTTTCTTCCAACCAGAGGATAAGGCTCAGTAATAGATGCGAGTGCTTCACTTTCTTGCTATAACGCTACACCTCAGCGTGTATCTAAACTGGTGAGCTCTGGTCACGGACCAGCCTGCTCCCACAGCATCAGAGGTTGATGCCAGAGTCCAAAGGAAGCCCCGGAGGCTGGAACCTCGTGCTCTAACTAAGCAAAAGGCCGGGATACTAAGGCACGCTCCGCCACAGGCTGAGCTCACCTACCAACCCACACACTGTTCCTCAGTATTTTCTCATTTTTTTCCCAGATGCTTTAGTCTAAGCCCAACTAGTCCATTTTTCTTATGACAGCATCAAGTATTTTTTTACAGTTCATATTACATTTCTGATAAAAGGCACCTTCTAGCTACAGCGTACCTCATTATTACCGAATTACCAAGAACTGGAACAGACCAGAGATGACAGGTAAGTCGCTCACGGAGATGCCAGAAGTTTGGCGAGTAACAGCACCGGACCTCGTCAGCGTGCACACAACCCAAACCGGCGGGGACTTGGTGAGCAATTTGCTGGCACAGCCACAGGTGCCTCCTCTGACCTATTGCTTTGCCATTTAGGCAAGTTACAGGCTTACAGTGCTTCTGCACCAGCGTCGTTTTGTAGCTCTAAGTATCCTGATGGGATTCAAACTTCCCAACAGTTTCTTGTTGGTTTCTGTATCACGCCTACTGTTGGGAGACCCAACTACTGCAGTTTCAAAACGCTGCTGCAAGGTTAAAGATCAGTAATGAAGACCCTGTGACAGGAAGGATCCAGAAGCTTGAAGAACCAGACCCAGCTGCACAGCTTTCCAAGAAAAAGCACCTTCTCTTTGCTTGACCAACTGCTTTAAGGCTATTGCCTTTCTCTCTCGCAGCCCCCTTACATACCACAATGCATATACCATACCAGCCTCTGCCTCTTTATCTATGACACACCTGACATATGACATCTACTGTAACAGAAGCTCCAGCATCTCTGTGTGAGAACTGCAAAGGTGCTTCTCTTGAGAAGAGTTTTGATGTCAAATTTTCAGTAGGTTTAATACATCACATAAGCTTTCTGTCTGCTTTGTCCAAAATTTGTGCGACACAGACCTTCACAAATTTCAAACACAACCCTTACTCGGCTCCAACACCTCGAATTCAGGAGCTGCAAGATGCTGCAATGAAGGAAATAAGCATCACTGAACTTCCATAATGCTATCAGCATCTGAATAAGTTGAAAGACAGAGTGGAAGAAAAATTGAGTAGAATGTTTATGTCTTTTTTTTTTTTTTTAAAGAAAGCTCTAGAAAATAACCTCCCACTCCTCCATCATTTGCTGTCTGTCTCTCGGCAGGCAGGCAGCACCCTGTGCCATCAGGCTCCTACCAAGCTAGAAAAGCAGCACACGTCAGCATCCAGTCACAGATTTCAGCTCTGAAGAGGAAAGATACCCCCCCTCCAGTTGCAAGGCAGACAACCCTACCCAAACTCTACAGTTCACAGATTAAAGAGACATAGAAAGCACAAGGCCTAGGCGCTTCCAAAGGCACACTGACTTGCTTGGGTAGCATCCCAACACATACAGAGAAGATTTTAAAAGCATTCACTCACATTTTCTCAAAGGTTTCATGTCACTGTACACCGGTTGGTTGAACTCTTCTGCAGCTCTCCTCTCATCAACGACCACCCAGCTACTAAAGAAGAAGTCACAGCAGAACTTCTCATCAAATAGGCAACACCAGGTGGCCATTTGGTGTGGCCCCAATCAGGTGAGCTGCCTCACCCAAAACAATCTGGAGAAAAATGAGCTCCCCTGGCTGCTACCTATAGCAAAGCCCTTCTTAATGGTGACCTGGCTTACACTTAGGAGCTTTGTTGACATGATCAGGAAGGTAAGGAAGGCTACTGGAGCAAAACAAAAAGAAGTTGTCTTGTAAAATGGAGCAGAGTTCTACTTGTTGATGCCTCCTCTTGTTACAGAAGTTCTAACAGCAAAATAATTTTCACGATACGTTGAACCCCCAGCCCTGGGGGTGGGGTGTGAGCAGAGCTGGCAAGCGCTTTTAAGATAAAGAAATGTTTTTCATCTGTGGTCTGTGCATCTCTAGGGGTGTGTGGAAGATTGCCGATAGGCTTAAGTTCACTTTACCAGGACAGACACCTGGTAATAAGAGAAATATTTTAGGGATCTACAATCTTAAAAAGGTCAACAGTCCGCTTAAGGATATTAACCCTTGGTGCTGAAGACTTCTGTGGTAACTTACTCTGCTGCCAGGCATTACAATAAAGCACACTGCTCTGGCCTTGGCATCTCAAGTTAAAGTCATATTCTTCAAAACGGTGATTATGGCTTCAAATGAGTATCATTATTTCATACATATGTAAAGCAATCCACGTAGCTTCATATGCAGAAAGACTCTATTGCTTTTTCACATTTGTTACATGTAGTCTACATATGGCTATATTACAAAGGAGAGAACTCCACTCAACAAAAGAAAAAAACAACCAACAGTAAACTGAGACAAAGGATACACCAGCAGTGCTCAGAAATTACCAGCCACGTTTTGCAAATCAGCTTTGTATATACACAAATAGATAGTAAGTCTCAAAAATATAATTCACTGAATAGAGCACATCCATGTCTGTTCTGTCACTGGCAAGGTTTTGAGGCTGACATCTCAGCTTACCAGTAGCCTGTAAATAACATTCCAATGTTTAAAGCCTTGAGAGCATGCCTGGTGAGCTACGGCAAGCGTAGGCGGGTCATAAAATATCTGGGGGTCTTAAAAAGTAGTAACAACTGTTGTCACCAAACACGAGCATAGCAGGGAGCACTGTCTAATGAAATTGGGTAGTGTGAGAGAAGCTTGCCCGGGTTGCTTCTTGCAGATGGAATTAAACACATTCAAGCGTTAAACAAAACCAGGCATGGAAACCACAAATGTTTTTTGTTCTGAGACCTGGTGTTGAAGATCCAAAGTCATTTCTCTGTGTAATAAAACACAATCACCTACTTTTACCTCTAGCATGACTTTAATAGTTAAAAATCAAATCTGTGCAGAGTGTACTTTATTTGTTCACATTACCTATTTGTGGTTAAAAACCACTTCATCTGACAGTTTAAAAGCATTCTTTTAAAAGAAAAGAATTAAACAATAGCTTCTGCTAAAAAATCTGCAAGTTACATGGATGCAATATACAGGAGTATAAAAAAATCAACAGTATTGTACAGAAAATATTCTCAAAACAGCAAATAAAGATTAGGCATGTAGGCATGATCCTGAACTGAACAAATACGAATTATAAAACAGCTAACAAAATTTAAAAAAAAATCCTGAATATCTGTATAAAAGAAGCAAGGATTCAAAGTGCAGGTGCTCCAGTTTCCATTTTAACATATTATTCAGTAGGTTAATACAGGATACTGTTCATTTCATTTAAAGTGACAGTGTTCTCAGTAAGACTTAAACATTCAGTTACATTATCTTGCAGATTTTTTTCATTACTGCTACTTTACACTGTTGTAAATGAAGACTTATGCAATACAAGTTTTTATTTTCTTAATCTAACAAGGATATAATAGGTTCGTGGTAAAGGTTAGTTTTAAAAGCTAAGCTATATATGCTATAGAACCAGCCTTAGAAGTATATATATATATATATTTTTTTTAACTTTTAAAAACAGCTTTCAATTTTTAAAAAGAAACTCTACCGGTCTGTTCTGGGACCTGCATACACTGTCTTTGGAGCACACCAGCAAAGCTTCCAAGTCCATGGGTTAGGAATACAGCCCCAGGCAGGGCTGTGGCGGGGATCTTCCCCGGGTGGCCGCAGCTGGGAAAGGGCTTTCTCTCTGCTGGGTTTGGTGCAGCCAGAGGCCGCTGAGCCCAGGGGAAGGCAAATGGGCTCTGCCTTCTGTCGGAGCAGAAATCATCACATTTAACCACGTTTGCCTGACGTGCCAGCTAGGCTTGGGATGGACTTCTCACTTCTATTTGAGTGTACCAGTCTCAAGCAGAGGAAGTTAGGAGCCAGGCAGGTGTCACTGAAGTGATCTTTCACATATTCAAAACAATAAAATTGAAGCATGCATTAAAACCCATTATCCTCTTTGAAAAAAAAAAAAAAAACTTACATGAAATAAAATTATCCTTCAGGGATGTTGCCTGGAACTTAATTTCACCTGAGGTCCTATTTAGTCTGACAGTGTCCCTTTAAATTTTAGGTACTTCCGGTTTCATTCGTTTTTCTCCCCCAAGAATCAGATCTCTCTATATGTCTATTTTAAAAACGCACATAAATATCACCATTAAGTTTACATTTAGAAATTAAGAACTAATCTTTACCATTTTATATTGACAGCAAGGTTAATAATACACACACTTCACTGACAACTGTTATTTTTTTCTATATTTTGAATAAAATTTGCATTTGTGTAACATTTCCCACAGAAAGAGTGATTATACTTCAAGATAGTTAAGTTTGCACCCCAACATTTTCACATTAGTGAAAACAATCATGTTTTGAAAATACCAGGGCCTGTGCCAGGTACTAATAAGAGAATAAAAAAAACCCCAAAAAACCCGACTGCCTTTTATCCCGACATAGTAGAGATTTCATAGTCACTGGCCGAGGTTATTGGTTTACCCATCATCCTCACGTTTTTAGCATTAGTAATCCTAGCCATCATGGACACAGGCTTGTCAAAGTACCTAACCAGCGCTGGCTCAGTCAAAAGGGAGGCTAAAAATTGTTCAAAGGTAATGGCCCAGTCTCTGTCAATGCTAGTGCTTCTACGAAGAGAAGTGGTGTGGTTGCTCCGTACCAAAACAGTGTCTTCACCGATGTCCTCGCAGTGCAGCTTTTCTTCTTCATGCGAACCTGCACTCAGTACCGAGTAGGAGGACATCGAACTATCATCTTTCGTATCATCATCGGAAATGAGCATGGAAGAACAGGCTCCGTTGTCCCTGGGAGAAGAGTCTTCGAGCTTAATGTCTTCCATCTGCATGCCCAGGGTGCTGTCGGTGCAAATGGCCTCCTCATCGTTGGCGACGAGGCTGCTTTGGAACGGCTTGTGCTGTTCAAGGGGGTACTGCTCATTCTTCTGAAACAGCTCGCTCTGAATAGTTTTGCTGCAACTGTTACTGCTGCTGTCTGTCTCTTTTGCGGGCTGCACACTGAAGAGCTTACCAACCTCACCTATCTCCAAAAGCAAGCTTGTCACAGCAGCAGTAGCATGGTACAGATCTTGTTCATTGGGGTCTTCACTGAACATATTGTACATTGTCTTGCACAGTTCAATGAACTGTCCCTAAACACAGAAGAAGGAAACGTTAAAGAGAGAGCAGGAAACAATTCAGACTGAGATCTACGAAATCAGTTCAAAAAGTCTGGAATGGAGGTACGACACAATAGTTTATGTGATTGAACTGAAACTGGAAATAATCTAGGTGCAGTCTAGAAAGAATTTTCTATGACTGGGCAGCCAGATGTGTTGCCTCTCTCAAAGCTATTTAGAATAAACAGCTGGATGTTTCTTCCAACATGAGACAAATTTATTTCTCTGCAGCCACAGGAGGGCAACAGAGAGCGAGCAGCAAGACACTAAGGCATTCATTTTGGTGGATTTTCTTGTAGGAATGATGTGAAATACAGAAGTTCATAGAATCATACACCAGTTTGGGTTGGAAGGGACCTTTTAAGGTCATGTAGTCCAACCTCCCTGCCATGAGCAGGGACATTTCCAACTAGATCAGGTTGCTCAGAGCCCCGTCCAGCCTGACCTGGAATGTTTCCAGGGATGGGGCATCTACCACTTCTCTGGGCAACCTGGGCCAGGGTTTCACTACCCGCATTGGGAAAAATTTCTTCCTTCTATCTAGTCTAAATCTACCCTCTTTCAGTTTAAAACCGTTACCCCTTGTCCCATTGCTACAGGCCCTGCTAAAAAGTCTGTCCCCATCTCTCTTAGAAGCTCCCTTTAAGTACTGGAAGGCTGCAATATGGTCTCTCTGGAGCCTTCTCTTCTCCAGGCTGAACCACGCCAACTCTCTCAGCCTGTCCTCGTAGGAGAGGTGTTCCAGCCCTCCGAGCATTGTTGTGGCCTCCTCTGGACCCGCTCCAACAGGTCCATGTCTTTCCTGTGCTGAGGGCTCCAGAGCTGGACACAGCCCTGCAGGTGGGGTCTCACCAGAGCAGAGTAGAAGGGTAGAATCACCTCCCTTGACCTGCTGGCCATGCTGCTTTGGATGCAGTCCAGGATAACTAGGGGTCTGATAAAACTAATGAAAAATGAAAGAAGAGACCTACAGCACTCTCTTAATTGACAGCGGTAGTTGGATGTGCGCCTTTTGGAATTCAAAACTCACAAATTAAACAGGAAGGAGAGTTGCTCAGGGCTACCTTAAGTAAGAAGCATTGTTCTACAGTGAAAAAAACCTTCCCTGCATGCTCTGGAGGAAACAGCTGTCCCGGTGGGTCTCCTCCTTAGCTGCTATGGATCTAAGGGGAATAAGACTGACAATATAAATTACAAAACATAAAATGCTTCTTTCAGGTAATGTGTACCAGATATTATGAGCTAGCTGGTGATATTCAGTGTCATATCACCCTTTGTCTAGAGATCAAAATAATATGTTATCATTCCTGTACCTGTATATCTCATTTTTAGTATGTTTTGGGAGCCGAATGCCAGTTACAGTATGTTGAAAACTATCTGCCTCAAAATAAAACTTTTATTCAGTGTTAATGTATTGAATATTTGTAGGTATGTGAAGAAAGTTTAAAGTTAATGAAAGATAGGTAAGTGTCAGCAGAAGTACCTGATTCAGTTTGGGCAAGTCCTTTGTGGTTTTTACTTTGGATTTATTCTCTTGGCTCCACATTCTCAGATAATTTCGATTCTCTTGTGAGCTCTTCTTGCCTATTGTTAACAAATTACCCAGAGATGCAGGAAAAGTCCATGAAGAAACCTTAAATTAATACTTTTTTGTTCCATTTTCAAAAGGAGCATCTTTACAAGAAATGAAAGATGTAATTCAAATGGAGACACCACGCATACCTTTGTCTGTTTTCAGACTCACTGTAACAAACCCATCATCTACTCCTTGTTTGTTCCTGCTGTCTAGGCCAACAACTAGGAAGTGGAGGGGCGGGGGGAGAGAGAGATCAGTGTGGGTTTAGATACATACATACTTTTCATGTGTACAGTGCAAAATAAAACGTTCACACTGCAGGAAATGCAGAGTAAAAAGGATAGGACTAAATGATGATTTTTGCGTATTCTTAAATCTGCTGACAAATTCCACATAATTAATAACAGAAACACTAAGACAGGGAACATCCTAGGTTTTGTTTGTGTAGTGCAATGATTAGCCTGTGTTACCACAACATAAACAGCTTCTAGCATGATATATGTTTGGTGATTATCACCATCTTCTTCTGTCTATCAGGACTTAAAATTGCCATCTCTAGTCTATTAATCCTTATCTGTATTTTCAAACAACCTTCCTTCCCCCTGTAATCTGAATGGATGGACAATATTTTTCTTGAATCAGAGAGAAACCTAACATCAAATATCTCAAGAAAGAGAATGCCATTTAAGACAACAGCAATGAGACCCAAGTTCTCATTAGGGCACAAAAAGACTTCAAACTGCTGAACTACATTTTGATACATCTTTTGGCTTCAGTTTTTTAGAATATTTTTAAGTTCTGATCCAAATATATCTTGAAAGCCAATATATTTATTCTCATTCTCCATCAAGGCATATATGCTGCACTTAGCACAAAATTACTTCTATTGCAACACACTGATGACATTATCCCACGAGTACTTCTGCAATGCATAGTCCACGGGAGTTCTTAGTGTACACATGCCTGCACCTCTACAGATATAAAAATACATACAAAGGCTTCTTTTTACAGATCGTATTTCACTTACAAAGTTTAATCCAATAAGAAAGATATGTTGTTTGAAATGCTTTACCTCATCTTTTCATGCCTGAGACAAAAGATGCCTACCGTGTGTACATTCTGGTGTGATGTCTTCAAAAAAGTACTGAGTAGCTTCAAAAGCAGAGTCTGGCTCTTCTTGCTCAGGGGATGGATCTAAGCAATATAATAAAATTCTTTAATTAAAATATCCACCCTTTAATTAAAAACTCAACATAATTCCATTGATACATCTATCTAGAATGTCAGTTTCTAGAAGTGAAAGTGTCAAGATGTGACACGTTAGGAATCATCTCTTTTCAGCTCACAGCAGATGAACAACTGAACCTGTACTGTCCCCTTCCCTGATATCTGGTACTTTCTGACTAACAAGTAGCTGTTTGCCTTCAGAGTCTGGCTTGTCCATCATCCCATGTCTACTTCCATTACTTTCTTCTGTGCAGCTCACCATGTCCTAAGCAGGGTATGAACCATTTTCTAGTGGGAAACAGTCTGTCAAGATTTGGTATGAGCTTACCAGTCACCAAATTCTTAAAAATGGATTTCTTTTGTTATCGTTCAATAAAAATGTGTTTTTTTCCAGTTAAATCAGTGAATCACTTGGCCTGCCTCCACCAAAGCCAGCTGGGAGCAATCAGGGACATGTTCAAAGCACATGAAGGTGAATGTCCTCTCAAAGCTTTTAGCTATCTTTACCATGTAAATGTAAATGTGCACAAGAATTAAACTACCCAAATGGCTGCAACAAGTGAGGACAGCAATAGGTTCTTTATGGCACATATGTGACAAGCCAGAGAGGTTATAGTTCCAGGACACCATTTTCTTCAGAGGCAAAACTGTTTTGAGATGCTTCCATCCCCTCTGCACCCTAAACTGCCTTTCTCACTTAGCTGAGCCCAACAGTTTGTACAGCTCCCTGGAAAAAACATCTATGAAACAATCTGGAGCTTCTCTCCACAAACAGTTGTATCAGCCTGGGGACAGAAACGAGTAGCCGGGGCACACAGGAATATTTTAAGCTAGCTTCACTGTTAAATAAAGTGCATTACGGTAACAAATACTGAAGAACACTGTATTTGTTAGGCATGGGGGAAGTCACCAACCCCGGCTAAATCGTCAAGAGACACATATAAATGGCCTGTCTGTGGCCAGAGCAATAGAGGGCTGCACGGGCGCTTTCAGACTTTCCAAATCCATGTCTAGTTATGGTAGAAGTGCTCTTATTTTACTGCTGCATAAACAGCTACAATAATTCCCACAGATTAATTTTTAACTGGGAAAGCTAGTCATAAACAACTCTGCTCCAAATTTCTGTTCTCAACAAGATGACAGCTATTTTAACATCAATTACTTACCAGGCAAAACATGCATTTTATACAGTAGCTTCAGCTTCTCGGTAAGATCTCCATGACATGCTGCACCTAAACAGCATTATATACTGTATGTTAATACTCAGCATTCAATGCCTTCTATTTATCACTACAATATTTCATTTTAGAAGCGGCTACATTCACTCTGGGAAGCACTGTACTCCCTTTACAGCCTGAGATCATAAGGCAGTCACTTGACTTCTAAGATCACACGGTCTGCAGTAGAAATAGCAAGAGAACACAGACCACCTTACCCTGAATTTTGTACTTCAACCTTGGGTCGTTCATTAAATGTCTGTTTTATAATGCTCAAAAATAATCTATGATCATCACATTATCACTCAGAATGGCCTCCAGCTAAAAGTTAAGATGACCTCTTTGTGTGGACTTCAAACTTCCTGATCTGAGGATCCAATAATAACATCACATGATCTAGAATAATAAGGTATTTACCAAAAAAAAGAGAGAGAAATTCAAGTAAACAGCATTTACCACAGCTTAGCCACAGGCTAAACTGATGTTCAGGCAATACTTTCTAATGATTTATCCACCTCAACCCCTATTCCTTTCTGGTCTAGTCTACAATTAGCTGTATGAAATCCAAGCTGTCTATTGTAGCCTCTCCTTCCAACTGCTTCAGCTGCAGTTCTGCATTCTCCAGCAACAGCTAGAGATGCATTCACCAAAATGGGATTCAGGGCACAGGGTATCTGGTGACATATGTAGGCTTGTTCCTCTCCCTGTCCCCAGATGTGAAGAGAACTGAAAAAGCTCAACTGCTACTGCTTTTTGCCCAAGATGAATCTGTGCGTTCTTCCTAATGCCGGGCCCTTTTCCCCCGCAAAACGTACGTGAATGAAGACAACACAATGTGGGACAAGTCGACCGAAGATGTTAACTGGACTCTCGGGGACAACCCTCTGGGTCTGCCCCGGGAGAGGTCAGAAAGTTTTACAACGGGAAGAACAGGCTACTGGCAATTTGCAGGAACTGCCTGACAGTGAGCTGTAGTGGGCTACCCAAGATCTGAGGACCGATGTTGTATTAAACAATAAAAAAATTCAGCTACATTCTGGACCTCTGGAATGGAATGGTCTGGAATGGACCTCTGGTAGACGTGCCCCTATTATGGAGAGTTAGGGGAGACCTTGGTATGGGTGGATACCTCAGCTCAGGCCACCATTTTGACCTGCATGCTGCAGTACATGGATAATTTCATAGGAGAGCCCAGAGAATTCAGTGGCCTCCTGCACAGCCCCTGCTTCCCTGAACAGCAAAGCAGATGACCCTGCTGAGTGCCCGTGAACAGCACTAGGGGGGTGGTAAGAGCATTCTTAGTCCCAACCATAAATACTTCCTTCCTGGCACTCTGGAGTCACAGGCCTTAAAAACCTCCAACAACTTTCAACAAGTCTTGTCTTTTTGCAGCAGGAGTCTCAGATGATGTATCACCAGGTTTTATCCAGAAGTTTTAAAGTTACTTTGTGGTGAGAGAAGAAACTGTGCTTGAAAGAGAGCATGACTACACCCTTGGAATCCTTCCTTTTACCTGAAACTGCAGCAGTGAAAACTCTCATCTTCACACTGCAACCAACATCCTCTCACACACCAGCTCTTACCCCTCTCAGGGCTTGACCACCACACCCCTTTTCGTGGCATGACTAGGAACAACGTTCACTGAGCTCCCTTTCTGACTGTTCCTCTTCTGTCAATACCATGCAAGTGTCGGTCTTTTCTGGGCATAATGTCATATGTACACAGTTCCCTCTCTTCTTTGAGGCCATTAACAAACTAATTAAACAAGTTAGAACTTTATTCTGTTAATATAAAACCTAGTAGCAACATAAGAGTGTTGGCTTCAGTTGCCCCTCTCTTGAACACAGGTGGAGGGTTTGTGGAGTGTTTGTACAGCATTTAGATGCCCAAAAGGATGGGAGGAGTGGTGAGGTTACTCTGCTTTCTGAACATCCTCCTGCGACTCGTGCTTGGAGAAAAGATGGTTTCCAGAAAAAGAGAAATACACTCAGGTACTCCTTGAGAAACAGTTTTCATGGTGCTGACTTTTGCACCAAGGCTGTGGCGAGTGCTGCAGACACCAGCAGTCACTGGAGAGGTGCAGCAGCTGCATGCTCTGTGAAGGGAGTATTGCAAAAACGTGATGGGAGGCAGGAGGCCATTTTGAGTCTACGTGGAAATCTCTCTAGCTTACTGGGATCCTGAGTCAACAACTGACATGTTATAATTCAGTGTGGTATGGGGGTGCAGGTGAGCTTCTTCATGAGTGAATACACCAAACAGCTCAAAATCAAGGGTGACAACCCTTTCTGAGCAGCACAACTCCTAGAGCAAACTAATCAAGATCACTCCTTTATTTGAACTTGCAGTAACGACAGAGTAAATGTACAAAAGAATATGCCAGGTTGTTCCATCTTTGCTCAGCTGAGGCCCTAGAGGCACCTGAAGTAGGAGGTTCTTGAGCTATTTGCTGCAGGGGCTATGAAAAGGAAATGGAGATTTCCAGTTGGAATTACAGTGCTTCTGTATCCCAAGGATTTCATGCTGACACAGAAGAAAGGGCCATGAGTCCATACCAGGACACACAGCACCCCTTTTTACCTCCTCTTCATGGAGCTCCTAGGAGGAGTCAATGGCATCAGAGAGAGGCTTTGAGGGAACAAATCATTATGGCTACATGGAATAAGGCAATTTAAAGACAGAATTGTGAAACAGAAATGCCTCAGGGGCCATGGCTGCTTCAGCCATCAACAAGCACCCTCTGAGATGGGCCATGCCTCAGAAGCACTTGAATAGGACAATTCCTTTAGAAAAGGCAGACTTGAGTAACCACGGCCAGGGTCCAATACTGCTGTTTGGACACAGTAAGAAGAGAGGGAGGATGGTGCCCACAGGTCACCTCCAGAACGCCCATCCTCTGACCATGCTTTCCAGGGCAGCCACAAGGAAAAGGCAACAGGGGCCCCTGTTGAGCAGACGCGTCTTGCTCCAACAGAAGACACTCCTCATTTAGGAGACTTTCCTAACCAAGGTATATTGGGTTGGTGAGGTAGACTGAAGCAGCTGATGTTTGTGAAATCTTTAAAAGTCCTGGGGGATGGTGAAATATGCTCAAACAAATCTCATGTTGTTTTTGTTGACTGTGGTGTCTTTGCTACCATTCATGTGCTGCTTAAACAAAAACGGGGCTGGGAGGGGTTGACTTTTAAAAAAAAAAAGTTTCCAAGCTATTGCCACATTGAGCTTAATTTCTGAAAAAAACGTGTTTTTGCAGAATGAGCAGTTTTGATTGTTTAGCCCATTGAAGATTTTTAGTTCAGTCATGTTGGCTTATAGCCACATTTGTGCATTTTATATTCATGTCTGTTCACAGTGCTCAACACTGTTCCTTGTTCTTATCACTCATTATTGCTTCTAAGAAATGCTGCCTCAACCAATAACTGACTGATTATTATTAACAGCATCCTGTAAGCAAGCAAGAATAGTTAATCCATGGGTCATGTCTCAAAAGGTCATTAAGTGTTACCTGGCAAACAGTCCCTCAAATACAATTCAGAACTGCATCATAGGAAGCACTGGGTTTTTTTGGGTGGTGTGAAGGGGAGGCATGCATCAGTTTTACTGTCATATAGCTATTTTGCACCTGTGAGAGAACAGGTATCACCAGTGCTGTACAGAGGTTTTAATGCAAGGCTGCATTTAGAGCCCTAATGCTTAAAAATACTGTTACAAAGAGTTGCTGAAAGCCAGACTGGGAAACATTTTCTCTCTCAAAAAGGATCATAATGTAAAGCTGGAGGAAACATCAGGTTGCCATGAAATAGCATGATAGATGATGAGATGTTGGTCACTTACAGTGAATAATTCCTGCTACATTAAAAAAAGGGGTACCAGCTTCTGCCTCATCTTTGCTTCTTCATGTTAATCCTGGGGCTTGCACATTCCCTTTGTTGTGATATTGATTTTCATGTCTTGAAATCTTGCTTTTTCAAGACTTGCATGGGCCGTAATCTCCATTAACAACATTCAGCCTCCCTATCTGACCTGCACCTCCACTTTCTCCTTTTCAGGTGACTCCCATCCTGCTCTCTTAGTCTGCAGTCTCAGTTATTGACTTCAGAAGTAATATAGGTAGTATCTCTCACTACATATACTACAAGGTGTGATACCTTCCCCTCACACAGGGACACATGTGCCTGGGGTGTCAGCAAACTTCTAAACAGCGGCTCTTCTATGCAGTGGCAAAAAAACCTAGCATTCTCACTCTACCATTCTCCTGCCCTTCTACGTGCACATAAATTTCTCAGAAGTGGGGACCTTATAAACATCTATAAATCTCTGAAGGGTGGCTGTCAGCAGGATGGAGCCCATCTCTTTTCAGTAGTGCCCGGTGATAGGACGAGGGGCAACGGGCACAAACTGCAGCACAGGAAGTTCCACCTCAACATGAGGAAAAACTTCTTTACTGTGAGGGTGGTGGAACGCTGGAACAGGCTGCCCAGAGAGGCTGTAGAGTCTCCTTCTCTGGCGACCTTCAAAACCCAACTGGATGCGTTCACGCGTGCCCTAGGTGATCCTGCCTTGGCAGGGGGGTTGGACCAGATGATCTTCAGAGGTCCCTTCCAACATCTGCCATTCTGTGATTCTGTACTCTTTCTGAACAATCATGGGAGCAAATGCTGCCGCTCTCCCCTTTCCAGAGCTGGTAGCACTGACAAAAGGTGTAACTTCCCAAAGGAAATACTTTGATTAGAAGTAATCACATCATTAAGCACACAAGTTGCAGGTCATTTTTGTGTTGAGAGTTAGCAGCCAGGGAAATCCTTAGACTCTAATGGATATGTAGTTCATGTGTGATCCTTCTCCCAGTGTGATACACCACTGACTAATGTAGATGCACCTACAGAGACCAGCCTAAACCCCAGTGGGAACCACTGTCACAGGCATGATAAAATGAACTGAATGGTAGCATGAACAGCTCTTAAAACACAGGTGACCTAGGCAAATCAGCATACGTCAAACTCAAACTCATTACGTGGTAGTTAATATAACATCTGTGTTTCTGAAGGACTGGATCTCCTTTAGAAACAAACTGTTTTGGTCAGATCATTTTGAGAGTGCTGTGAAATCTCCTTACTTAGCCCAGAGACGAATTCACGGAAGTTGATGAGCAAGTCTCCATTTTCATCAAGAAGCCTGAATAAGCGCGCAGCTAATACATCTGAATGAGTTCCACATGCCCAAGGAAAGAGGAGAGCGAACATCCCCTTGAACTGTTCAAAGTCAATACGGTACTGCTCCAGGTAAGGCAGGCTGGGATCATGCCGGTCAGTAGCATTGCTGTTTCCTCCCCAGTAGCAGCTAGTCAGGTGTTCTGCCTGAACAGAAGGCAAATGCTGTGAGATTGTCATCATTGCTGTAAACAACTCATCACTATCAATAATTAAAAAAAAACAATCCAAACAGCTCAAACACACACATTCTTAAAACAACACAAGACTAGCAGATGTATTTCCAGCTACCTCGCCCTTGCAATTTCTGCAAGAGGTTTCTCCTCTAGCCAGCACAAAAAGACATCTCTCTACAAAAAAAAGAAGATAAAGCAAAACTTTTTCTGCCTCCCAGGCAGAAGAAACATGAAATACCTATTTTGAACAGCACAGTAAGCAGCTGTGACTTGCACACATACAGCCTTGTTGGGCTTAGTCACCCCCTTCAACCTCATCACATGGTCAAGTCAGAAAGGAGACTCATGAAATCTTTAATTTCAGAGCATATAAAATAGCTGTTTATTTGAAATATTTTCATTGAACTGCATAGTCTCAAAAATACTGTATAAAGTCCTATTCTTTCAGTCTTACTGAAGTCAGTGAAAGTTCTGGAGCTGATTTTGGTGGAATCTAATTCAAAATGATTCAGGAGCTTAGCGAAAGAAATCCTAGCACTGCACAGTGATCAACCAGCGTGGGCTGTCTGACCTGGTCTCACCTATTCCATGGAAGACAGAAAGGTGGCAGCTGGTCACAAGCGGTGTTTCCCAGG